TAAATGGCAAAATGAATGTTTGGAAATGTAAACTGATATTTCCTAGTGACACACTTCAGCAAAAGAATTCATACAGTATTAAATGACTGATGCCTTTCATATGTATAAATCTTTACAGTCATTTTTCAGCATTCACATTTTAATTCCCAAATATCTGTTATTTTTCACTCACAGAGCCTGACGTCATAATGCACCTCACAGCTGATGATATTACAACATCCTCTGTCTTCTTAAACTGGACTAAACCGAATGGTCAAAGCTCCCGTTATCGTGTAGAATATGAAGATAAGAATGTGATGACTGAAAACACCTCCATCAATATAAATGATCTGATTCCTGGAGCACAGTACACATTCAGAGTGTTTGCAGTTGCAGCTGATCATGTGACCGAGGGAAGAGCCAATCAGATTTCACTGTATACCAGTAAGAGCTCTGATTGGATGTTTAATCTGAATGAAGCCTCAGCCCCAAACCATCTCATAATTTCTTCCCTTGAGCAGAAAACTGTACAGCAACATCTTAAGCACTTACAAATGCTATAACTTCTTTATGAATTACTAATTGTATCAATGTTTTAACATGTTTTAACTCTATTTCTTACCAGCACTTATGATTTCTCCTTCTCTCCCCTCACAGAGCCAGATGTAATCAGTAATTTCACTGTGTCTAAAATCACAACATCATCCATGTTTCTGACATGGGCTGAACCATTTGGAAATAGATCTTTCTTTAAACTTAACTGGACTGACGAGAATTTGGACTTGAACAGAAATGCAATAGAAACTAATAATACTTCCTATCACATCAGTGGTCTGACTGCTGGAGTCAGTTACACATTCTGCATCACTGCTGTGGCAGCAGATCAATCAACAGAAGGAGAAACTGTCTGCATCTCAAACTATACCAGTATGTAAAACTATAAAATATCTGTTTTGTGCAACATAGTACATTATCAGAATTATGCCTTTCTGCAACTCACAGTATTAAGCTGTGAACATCCAGAACTAAGCTGGATGTTGACATCACTGAATTCAATGATGAACTGTCTTTAACTGAAAAATGAGTGTTTACTATTGTCATTTTGCATTATTGACACTATTTTCCTAATTAATACTGTTCAGTTGCTTTGTCACAATCTGTATTGTTAAAAGCGCTATATAAATAAAGTTGACTTGACTTGACTTGACAGTATACCAGTATGTAGAATTTTTAAATATCTGTTGTTTTCGTTTTTGTACAAATTCCCATCGAAAACTCCTGTTACACAGTAAATTAGAATAATTGCGTGACTATCAATGAAACCTCCATCAAAATAAATAAAACAGATAATGTAATTTTTTAGATCTCAGTATTTACTAAAATGCCATCTAGATTCATTAAATGTTCTGATGAAGTTATTATAAACAATATAATCTTCATTCTTAACACAAAAAAATTGATAGCCAAACACTCTGTACCAGAATAAAGATGGAAAACATTATTAATATAAAAAAGCACATATTATTAAAGGGGTCATATGATGTTGCTAAAAAGAACATTACTTTGTTTATTTGGTGTAATGAAATATGTTAATTATCTGTTAAGGTTAAAAAAACACATTATTTTCCATATACTGTACATTATTTTTTCTCCTCTATGCCCTGCCTTTCTGAAACGTGTCAATTTTTACAAAGCTAATCATTCTGAAAAGTGAGGTGTGCTCTGATTGGCCAGCTATCCAGTGTGTTGTGATTGGCCGAATACCTTAAGCGTGTGACGGAAATGTTACGCCCCTTACCATACTGTGATGCCCTGTCCCAGCCGGAGCGACGAGACAAAAACATTTAAACCCATTATAAATGAGGCATTTGTTGCATCCAGTGGGGACATAATTATGGATTATAATGACTTATACTGTCTTTTTATGCGTTGCGTTGCATTGCGCCGCGTAACCATAAACCATGTCTGCATTTGTGATCGGAGAAATGACAAACAACAAGTCCTACTCTACACTCCTCAAAACTCACGTTTGAATCGTCAGTGGCAAATTCTTTAATATAAAAAAACTTACTTACAGTCTGTGAGTCAGAACAGCTGGCATTGTAGTCTACTCTCCCAGGATCAGGAAACGGTCCTCCATAAAATGTGCTGCACACATCTGAATATTTGGGTTGAACTGGTCTGGAACAGTGTTGTAAATACAACTTAACCACTGATTTCTAGTCGTGTCCTCTTTGGATTTGAGACTTTAGTCTTTGCAACTTTACAGATCTTCTTTATGCACCAAGAGCTTGTAACACTCCAAAGAGAAAGGAAAAATCATCATATGACTTAAATTGTAAACTGCATTTGTGAAGTGCAGTTATAAATAAGCATCATGGTAGTATTCCTTTTCACTGAATTTGTTTACTGACTAAAAATAATCTGTCCAGAGAGGATTAGTTTCATTACTGTATTAAAATGATGACTGCAATTTTTCACAGTATAGAAATGAGAATTGAGCAGGCAGATTTGATTAATTTTCCTGAAAACAATGTCATAGAGCAAGGACAGTCTATTGTTATTATTAGTGATGCCTTTTCTGTGAAAGATTTGCACCTTGTATAATTTAGTACAGGTTCTGGCCAGCATACTTTTTAATCTGCTCTTTTACCACCTTTTTCATTGACTTCTCTCTTCTCTACACAGGACCTAATGTGGTCAGCCTCGCAGTGTCTGAAATCACATCATCATCTGTGTTTCTGAGTTGGGATGAACCAGTTGGAAATAGATCTTTCTTCAAAGTTCAGTGGGCTGATGATAAAACAGATGCAACTAATAATACTTCCTATCACATCACTGGTCTGACTGCTGGAGTCAGTTACACATTCTGCATCACTGCTGTGGCAGCAGATCAATCAACAGAAGGAGAAACTTTCTGCATCTCAAACTACACCAGTATGTAATGTTATGAATTATCTGTCATCTTCCTTTTTTATATATACTGTAGTTGTAAGGATGCAAAAGTGATTATTGCAACTATATTTAATCTCAGACAGTACAGTATGCTGAGTTTTAGATAAGGGATGAACCTGAAATATCATAGATATAAAATGTGTAATGTTGTTAATTAATATTAGTGGAATTTTGTCATGATTTATTGAAGAAGGTGAACTCATCTGAGATGGCAATTTGCAATACCACACATTAAAAAAAGACAAAGAAAGTAAGAATGTACCCAGGGTATGAATTAGGTGGCTGGGATCCTACAAATTACCTCAACTGGAACAATATGTATCATTATATAAAGTAACATACACATAAAGAAAAATTAATATGCAGCATTCCCAGCATAATCAAAAATGTAAGGGTAATGTTAAATAGCAATTATGATATTAAATATAATACAAAAGGTGTGCTCTTAATTATGTGAAGATATAAAAAATATAAATAACACTTTAAACAGTATAGCCAGAGATGAATAGTATTTTCATATTTATTGCCATCAGTGTTAAAAATGAACTTTCCCATAGGGAAATGTTTCCCCCTCAAATTGATTTCCAGGGGCACTTTTAATCTTTATATAGGGCCTTTATATTTTTCTAACCTTTTTAAAATGTCTGACATCTTTAATGTTAAATTCTTAAATTTAGTTTAAGAATTTAATGATTTAGTTAATTAAATTAGAATAATAAGACACAATAGGCTGTTAAACCATCTTTGCAATGAAGAGCTGGCACAGAAGCTCCATCTGAAGTTACTTTAATCATAATTGTATAATTCATACAGCTGTTGTAATTTATTTTACCACCACTACATATCATTTACTTTTCTCTCCCCAAACAGAGCCAGGTGTGATCAGGAATCTCACTGTAAAAAACATCACAACATCATCAGTGTTTCTGACATGGAATGAACCAGGTGGAAATAGAGATTTCTTTAAAATTCAATGGACTGATGAGAAAATAAACAGAAATTCAACTACTAACACTTCCTATAACATCAATGATCTGACTGCTGGAGTCAGTTACACATTCTGCATCACTGCTGTGGCAGCAGATCAGTCAACAGAAGGAGAAAGTGTCTGCATCTCGCAATATACCAGTATGTAAAATTATAAAATATATTTTTCTTGCTAAATAGTATGTTGACAATTCTAATTGACTTCTGACCAGAGGTGGGTAATAACTACACTTACTCCATTATGTTTACTTTAGTAACTTTTTGGAAGATGTGTACTTTTAATAGTAGATATATAGGTCTGTACTTTAACTCAAGCATATTCACACAGTTATATTGGGTGACGTTCCTCTTGGTGCTTTATTTTATTGCAATATATGTTAAGAAATGTCTAGTTTATTCCAAACACACTCTCTATTTACTGGGGAATGAGTGATGCTGCATGATTCAATGATTCACTCTTGTGAGTCAATTTTGTTCGAAGACTTAAACAATTGGCTAAACAGTCTGAAATTGTTCTCAGATTAGTTTGGAATATGTGTTCAGTTCCCTGCATGCACTGAATCATCTGAAGCGGTCTCTCACTTGTAACAGGACATTTAATAACACTTAGAACATAAAGAGCATTGGATGAAGCAGACATAAACCTACTGTAGGAAACTTTTTCCTCGTCGAAGCAGAACCCAGGAGACGTTGGGATATCTTTCATACAGAAGTCACTCTTTATTGAGGACTCGCTGTGCGTCGCTGCAGTCATCCAAGTCTGACTATAGCTCAGCACAGTAGAGTTTATATACATTTTAAGGGGGCGGGATTCATTCAGTAGAGGTGGTGACAATCTAAACAAAGCATGCAAATGCAATACAGGAATCAGCTAATTACCGGAATTTCTCCAGCCCTGATCTCATCAGCATAACAGTGTCATTCAAATGCATAGGTGCTAATCCATTCAGCATAACTACTCAAAGACTGGGCGGAGGCACCAAGAGCCATTACAAACAAAAGGTGACTTTCTCAGTAATTTGGTTAATTTGACTATCAATAAGATAAACCGGAACAGACAGGAACCTCTTGCTACACTTTGTTTAAGATAATCATTTGTCTGATGTAATTTACCTTAAATGCTAAATACAATGTACTTCACCTTAGTTTTTCATGTGATGCTATGTCAGAATATAGTATCAGCATATTTTAAACAGATTCTTAAATTTGTAATCCAACACTACAGTCAGTCAATTGAAACAATTTGCAAATGCATCTTGTTTGCCAGTATCGAAGATCTTTATTAGTTAAACACGTGTGTGCAGTCTGTGAACTATTCCATACTAATGGTAATACATTTTACAACCAAACAGAATGTTACACTAAAAGAACACAAAACCACTACTACAAAGTATGACATTACCAGTTTTATGACGTACACCATTATGTATACATTACATAAGCTACAGCGTATGCAATGAACACTCACCAACCTGCAGCCTGTTTGTCTTGAAAAGAAAAGCCTTTGCTTAGACAGAGTTACACATGCTTTCAGAAATATAAACTTGATCACATTTAAAAGAACAGATGGAAGATCCGTCAATGTGCATTTTATTTTTTTTGTTTACATTCAGATGTTCAGTAGCAGTCATGAGCATGAGTGCTTCTCACAACTCGCACGTGAAGAGCTTTTGCTCATTCATCTTTGTCAGTACTATGAAAACAGTTTTCTAGCAAGACCATTTCGTAGATGTGAACAGTGCCGATGTCCTCAGACCTGAGTTTAGTTCACCTTGCATCTAAGTTGTTGTTCCCTTTATATACATTTGAATGCAAAACTCTGTGCATTTACTTTATTTTGACATTATCTTGATTAAATGATTGGAGGGGGGGGGGGGATTATCTTTTAAATATAAAACTAAAATGGCCAGTAGGTGGGGGCAAATCACTTTGTTAATGAATGAGTCATGGAATCATTTGATTCGTTCAAGAGGACTGATTAATTAAGGAATGAAGCAAGTAATTTTATGAATTCAATTGAATCATTCGTTCGGCCGGAACCAGGAAACAAACAGCACTGTGTTGCTCACAGACACGCAACTCTTCTGCTGGGGATTTATTTTGAAGGTAGTGGTTATTTGCACCAAGTACAAATAGCAATAGATGCTACTTACACTATGTTCAAACAGCCATAGATTCTATTTACACTATGTAAAAATAACAGTATTTTGTTAGCGATATGCTAGTTTGACATTATCTTGATTAAATGATTGGAGGGGGGGGGGGGATTATCTTTTAAATATAAAACTAAAATGGCCAGTAGGTGGTGGCAAATCACTTTGTTAATGAATGAGTCATGGAATCATTTGATTCGTTCAAGAGGACTGATTAATTAAGGAGGACTGATTAATCATTCGTTCGGCCGGAACCAGGAAACAAACAGCACTGTGTTGCTCACAGACACGCAACTCTTCTGCTGGGGATTTATTTTGAAGGTAGTGGTTATTTGCACCAAGTACAAATAGCAATAGATGCTACTTACACTATGTTCAAACAGCCATAGATTCTATTTACACTATGTAAAAATAACAGTATTTTGTTAGCGATATGCTAGTTACATTATACAAGAGCAAATAACGATAGAGATTCTATTTACACTATTTAAAAAGTATTATTTGATTTGCAATAAGTGCAGTAGAAGATGCTGTAGTTATAATTATTGCAAATAGTAGTGGATACTTGCACCTCAGTGTTGTAGTAGCCTACATTATAAAACAGTATGAGATGATAACATATTGAGTGTAGATTATAATCTTTATTAAAATTATTAATGGATGTCGTCTGTGTCAATTGTCACGGGGTTGTGGTTGTAGAGAATGTGCACGACGAAGGAGTATGAGTAAAGGAGTCTTTTTAATCAGCATCAACCACATAAACCATTGAAAAATAACATTAATCCAAGACAAAGAAATCGACAGAAACTGAGGGCTTATGAAGACAGGAAACCTAAGTAGCAAACGAGATGATTAACACAACACAGGTGATCTAAATGAACGAAGATGAACTAATTACGAGAACAGGAATTAGACCAAATTGGGGCAAACAGAAACTAAACGGAAACACACACACACGTGACAGATCGCCCCGCTCCCGGACACAGTACCATCGTGATTTGTTGAATGCCAGGGCGGATCAGGAAGCCATGGCGGAGCAGGGATCTCGGAAGTCCATGGCGGATCAGGAGACTCGGGAGGCCATGGCGAATCAGGAGACTCGGGAGGCCATGGCGCATCAGCCCTCCAATGGGCTAAGCACGGGGACAGGAGCCTTCACTGGGCTAAACTCGGGCACAGGAGCCCCTTACTGGGATAAACTCGGGCACAGGAGCCCCTTACTGGGATAAACTCGGGAACACGAGCCCTCCGTGGGTTAAACTCGGGAACTGGAGCCTTCCGTGGGCTATACTCCGGAACTGGAGCCCTCTGTGGGCTATACTCGGGAACTGGAGCCCTCCCTGGGCTATACTCGATGTGAACAGTGCCGATGTCCTCAGACCTGAGTTTAGTTCACCTTGCATCTAAGTTGTTGTTCCCTTTATATACATTTGAATGCAAAACTCTGTGCATTTACTTTATTTTGACATTATCTTGATTAAATGATTGGGGGGGGGTGATTATCTTGTAAATATAAAACTAAAATGGCCAGTAGGTGGTGGCAAATCACTTTGTTAATGAATGAGTCATGGAATCATTTGATTCGTTCAAGAGGACTGATTAATTAAGGAGGACTGATTAATCATTCGTTCGGCCGGAACCAGGAAACAAACAGCACTGTGTTGCTCACAGACACGCAACTCTTCTGCTGGGGATTTATTTTGAAGGTAGTGGTTATTTGCACCAAGTACAAATAGCAATAGATGCTACTTACACTATGTGCAAACAGCCATAGATTCTATTTACACTATGTAAAAATAACAGTATTTTGTTAGCGATATGCTATTTACATTATACAAGAGC